CTAACATTATTGGGTTGAAATCGCATGACCACCACATTCTTATGCAACGTCTGATACCGATTGGAGTAAGAGGGTTGTTAGACAAAGACACTTATACACCTATTGTAGACCTTTGTACGTTTTTCAAGCAACTTTGTTCCAGAACATTGAAGGTGGAGGATATGAGGAAAGCAAAAGTAGACATTATTGCAATCTTGTGCAAGTTAGAATTGATTTATCCTCCAGCGTTTTTTGACATTATGGTTCATTTACTTTTGCATTTACCTGATGAAGCGATTGCCGGAGGCCCGATATGTATGAGATGGATGTATCCCTTCGAAAGGTATATGAAAAAGCTAAAAAACTATGTCAGAAACAAGGCAAGGCCGGAAGGTTCTATAGCTGAGGGTTATGTTGCTGAAGAAGCTTTATCATTTTGTTCGATGTACCTTCGAGATGTAAAGAATCGTCCGGAAAGAAATGAAGATGTTGTCATTGAAAAAACAAAGTTTTGGATGTTTGAGTCTAAATGTCGACCGGCCAGCACAACTCAAATCAAAACTCTTAATTTAACGGAAATGCGTAACATGGAATGGTTTGTATTGAATAGCTGTGAAGAAGTCACACAGTATATCAAGTAACTAATCTTATCTCTAACTTTCATCCTTAATTTTTTTTAATCTTTTTAAATCTATATCCTTTGGTCATCAACATAGGAAATTCAAATCTGAACATCCCCAAAGTGATGAAAAGAGAGAATTTCGTAATTGGTTTCGTGAAAAGGTAATATAAATTAATAAACAAATTTGTTTCATTGATCTAACGAATACATAATACATATTACTTTATAATTGCTAGGTTCATCAAATGAAAATAGAAAACTCTCCAGAATTCCACAAAGAGTTGTCGGCTCTTGCAATGGGTCCGCAAATGAATGCTTATTCTTACACCGCATGCATAGTCAACGGTGTTAGGTTTATGGTACTTAGTCGTGACGCACAACGTACAACACAAAACTCTGGGGTTTTAGCGGTGGGTGAGAAAGGTGAGAAATATTATGGCCAGTTAGAAGAGATTATAGAGTTGAGGTATACACATGATTATTCAACTGTACTATTTCGTTGCAAGTGGTTTGATACTCGAACAGGAGTTATTACTAGTGATAATTTCACCAGTATCGATACACGACGCGAAGCATACAAAGATGATCAACTCATATATGCTTCACAAGCCAAACAAGTGTTCTACATCAGAGAGCCAAACAGTAACCATCGGTGTGTTGTCGAGCATGTTAACCATCGAATTATTTGGGATCTACCATCAAACGATGATCGTGTCCAAAATGATGACAATGGCTCACACGAAAATGTAGACAATGTAGATGTACTTCAACATATATCTTCATCCGATGCTCCACTTTTTATCGATTTCAGCATGTACTTTCAAAACATTCCTAGAGTCATTGTTGATGTAGAAAGTGCAACTGAAGTTCCTCCGCCAACTGGTATAGTCAATGATGTTTCTGATTGCGAGACTGATTACGATGAGACCGATTCTGATTATGATACCGAAGAAGACACTGAAGGATATGAGGAAGATTCTGATTAGAATAGTTCTTATGTAATACGTGTTTGTAATATGAACTTTATTTGGATTTCTTGTTTAAATAGAAATGTTTAGTCCTATGTAAATGTTTATTTCTATGTAATGTGTATTTGTAATAAAAATTATATTTGTATATCTTATATTTTTTCAGGAAACGATGACAATATGAGTTTTGTTTATGTATACCATGGCTGATGTTATGGGTCGTGGACACGGAGGTGATGGAGCTGAGGACCCACCTCTCCCAGGTGGTAGAGGTGCTGGTCATCACGAGCAGGACGGTAAGTTTTATTATGAATTTTTATTTACTAATTTTGTTCAGTTATTATAAATTAAATACCGTTTTCAATAATTTTTAATTACATTTGTAGTTGAGCAAACTGCACGAAGGAAAGTTCGAGGCAAAGCAAAAAATATAAAGCTTGAAAAAGCGATCTTACGGAACAAGGGCAAACCGATTACCATGGAATATGATAGGGATATCACATTTGATCCCGTAGGAGAGCCGAAAGACATGTTTTCCCGAGAAGTTGGAAAAACAATGTGGCAGATGGTCCCATTTGATAAATGGACTTGGAAAAAAGTTTCCCCTGCAATACAGGACACCGTATTACAACATTTAGCGGTAATAATTTATTTAAATATATTTTATATGGTTAACTATAATTGTTTTTTACTTGGTTAATTTTTTTTTGTAGAAAAAGTTTGATTTGGATCAGATGTACCGGGATGTACAAGCTAATTTGTTGACAGAGAGTTTTCAAGCAGCTTTGTTAAAAGGTTATCGAGAACGTAAAGCTGACGCAAAAGAATATTTTATGTCAGTCGGAGGGTATGAAGATATCCCGGGAGCATTAGCCAACCCTCCAGAGGGTATGGAAGTTGATAACTGGATGAAAGCAGTTGAGTATTTCCAAATAGACGAACACAGAATTGCTTCAGAAAGGAACAAAAAATCCGTGAAATGCAAACAAATGTGAATCGTGGGGGGTCGAGCTCGTATAGCAGTACTTGCTATAAGAAGGTAACGTACGATACATGCAATTATTTATTTAAAATATAATCTAATTTTTAAAGTTAAACAGAACCTGAAGAGAGTGGAAAAGTTTCGCAAAGCTCACACCGATAAGAATGATGTATTTGTTACTGCTGAGGCGGAACAACAATATGTAAGTATTTAATTATAATTTTATCATATAATTAAATGTTTATTTATACTTAATTGTTACTCACTTTTGGGAGTTACATAATCGGTTAGTTGAAGAGCTGTTAGAACAAACTCAAGGTGAAAGTCAGTTAACACCCGCTCAAGAAAGAACTGCGTTTGAGAAAGTATTAGGAGAGCGACGTGGCCATATTAGAGGCATTGGCCGTAAACCTTCTGCTCTGCCACCGATTCCACAGCCTTCGCAACCATCACCACAACCATCACAACCATCACAGGTAAAACAATCTACTTTGGTAATTTTGGTTTTGTGGTGATTATTTGCTAAAAAGTTTGGTAATTAGGTTTTTGTCCCAAGTGCAAAAAATAACAACGTACTTTGGTTTTTTGTCTTAGTTTAAAAATAGCAATCTACTTTATCATCTTAAAATGCATGTTGATTTGGTAATTTTGGTTTTGTGGTGATTATTTGCTAAAAAGTTTGGTAATTAGGTTTTTGTCCCAAGTGCAAAAAATAACAACGTACTTTGGTTTTTTGTCTTAGTTTAAAAATAACTATGTATTTTCATAGTTTTTGTTTATTTTTGATAATTTAACTTATAAGTTTGTATATGTTGTTATTAATTATGTAGTTGGAAAATCTATGTGCGATGCTGAATGACCCGGCATGTAGGGATGAGCTGTATTCGTTTTTTCAATCCCAAAATAATCGAGGAAACGATGAGAATGAAGATGATGGTATATAGGCCGAGATGAGTTTTATTTGCATATGTTATCACGCTTTGCTACTTGGTAGATTGTAAAACTTTGGTTGTTTTTTGTAATTGCCGGCGACACTAATACCGGGCGACATTATTACTTTTTATATTTAATCGGCTATTATGACTTTTGATATTTAATTAATTATAATCGGATGTTTGTTTTGTAATTAGCATCGACACTATTATTTTTGATATTTAATCGAATGTTGCTATGTAATTACCGAGTACATTATTACCTGCAACCAAAATCGTTAATTACAAAAACAAATTTTAACAAATGAAAATCGTAATTACCGGCGACACTATTACCGGCGACAAGGTTATTACCGGCGACACATATCATTAGCGGCGACGCCTTCATTAGCGGCGACATCTATCATTAGCGGCGACATGTTCATCAATAACGACGAAGTAGTAGCGGCGACTTATTACCGGCGACGCGTCGCCGCTATTACCATTACCGGCGACATCTTGGCTTATTACCGGCGACTTTTGTCGCCGCTAATGATCATTTTCCTTGTAGTGGTCATTATGTATGTTGGGTTGGGTTCATTTAGTTATGTGGTGGGTGGGCCCATTTGTATGATATGTGGTATTTTGAGGAAACTCATTAAGCTTTGTGCTTACGGTTTATGTTGAAAATGTTTTCGGGTACTTATGGTTTCAAAATGAAGGGTATGACTTGATCACAATGCATCCCTGGAGATTTATTTCGCATTAATTGTTTACGATTTTATTATGATGTTTTGAGAATACTTTTACTCTGATCGTCTTTGAAACAATGAATGAATGATTTTGATTTATTTAAAATAAAATTTATATTCAATATTTTTGGGACGTTACAGATAAATACATAAATATGTTTTTAAAAGCAATTATGTAAATTGATTAAAAAACTCAACAGCTTTTTCTTAAAGGTATATTATAATTAGATTTTAGATTTAGATTATTTTGTTTAAACTAAAAGTTCAACGTTCGAACATCCAAACCAAACTTTTTTTTTAGTTCCAATTTTTTTATTAAAAATTAAAAGCTAAAAACTATGAAATTCTCTATTTTATAAGGTACAACCTTTTAAAATATACTTTAGAGAAGTTTCAATCCTACCGACCCTCTTTTTAACTATTAAATTTTTATCTTTATTTGCATAATTAATATGATATAACTCAAATTGTGGTCTCAATCACAAACAAATGAGTCGAACTAAGAATGACTATGGCTATAAATGGAATGTAAAAGAATAAAACAAGTGTCCCAAGGAAATATGCACAAGAATAGGGTTAGAGGGCATGCCATTTCCAAGTGAAATCTTCAAATCTCATGATCCGATCGTTCGACTTCATGCTAACACCTTTCTCTCTCGTCCACATAACACATAGTTGCAGACGCTAACACCATTTTTCACTAGTAACATTACACAGACCAGACTCAAAAGACCAATCAGTAGCAATATATCTTAGTAGTAACCTGCACAACAACGAAGATTGGGTATGGAAGATAAGGCTGCAGATACGATGTTGACAGTAGCTGATAAGGCTCCGGTTACCTCCGAGAGAAAGATTCGGTCAGACCTCGACAACAACCTCCCTAAGCCATGTATGTATATGTGTTAATTACTGCATGTGTGAAAAAATCGATCTTGAAAATATTTTGGGATCGATGTGACTTTCTTGATGTTTTGGGTACTTTCAGACATGGCAAGAGCAGTGACTGCCCCAGATACTGATCATCCGAATGGAACATCGGGACACAAACATAACAATATGTCTGTTCTTCAGCAACACGTAGCGTTCTTTGACCAAGATAACAACGGGATCATCTTTCCTTGGGAGACTTTTAAAGGCAAGCTTTATATATGATCTGTCCAGCTGTATATGATCACTTTACATGATCTCATAATTACCACGAGTGTTTATATTTATACAGGGTGTCGAGACCTTGGATTCAATGCGTTCGCTTCATTTTTATTCATGGTATTAATCCATATGGCTCTGAGTTACGTCACTTTGCCTGTAAGTTGCTAATCATAAAATAGGTGCTATTTGACCTTTTTGTGTCAATTTCTTTACTTTTCGTGTTCACTTTTGACGTAGACTATATGATAAAATGATCCCAATAACTTATTATAGGTGGAAAATGATATGATATGATGTTCCATTTCAGTATGAGAAAAGTTCAAAACTCTGACAAAATTGACTACAGTTCTAAAAATGGGAACGAGCTCTTTTGACCTTAAAAATGTCTAACTTTCTGTTTCAGTATTGAGTACTGTATATACTTACAAGACCCTTAAATTGATCACCCATTAATCCACCACTAATCGAACCTTGTGGCCTAAAATTGTACTTTTTGGATGAGCATTTTCTGATATCAAACTATTAATTTCTTGACAAGAACAACTGAACAAGTAGGTCACATGAACATATATGGTGATTAGTTTTAAGCGACGATTTTGCATTGCTGTGTTCTAATTGGATTAATTGTGTACATGTGGATGTTGTGGTAGACTTGGTTGCCATCACCTTTCTTCCCCATTTACATAGAAAACATACACAGGGCGAAGCATGGAAGTGATTCCGCGACTTACGACACAGAAGGAAGGTTAGGAATTTAAGTTCGTCTTAATTGGTCTTGGTAGGCATGCTAATTAAAGTAAAATAAACGACTTAATTAATTAATTTTGTTTTTGATTATTGCTGTGGCATGCATGGTGAATGTCCTTGCATGCATACAGGTTTATTCCAGCCAATCTTGAGAACATTTTCAGCAAATACGCTCGGACAGTTCCTAATAAACTCACATTCAAGGAGCTTTGGCATATGACTGATGCCACTCGCAACGCCTTTGATTTCTTTGGCTGGTAATTTTTAGTGATCACTAAATTAACAAACTTTTGGGGTTATTTTCAATAGCGATAAAGAGGAGGGCAAAAACGAAACATTATTTGAGAGTAGCTTTGTGACTTTGTCCTTAATTATATGTGGAAGATCTATTAGTAGTAAGTAGTAACCACATGCATGTTTTGTAATTAACGATGTATATATAGGACTGCAAGCAAGTTGGAATGGGGAGCTCTTTATGTGCTTGCAAAGGACTCAGATGGCTTCCTATCAAAAGATTCAGTAAGACGTTGCTTCGATGGAAGTTTGTTCGAGCATTGTGCCAAGAAGCAAAAGGGCGATCCAAGTAAGATGGGATGATCGTTATATATGTGTATGGGCAACGACGTAGCGAACTATGTTACTAACTTTTGTATTCGCAAGATACTCATAGTTCCTTTGGACATTAGATTAATTAGATGTTATTTTAATAGGTTTATGGGTTAATTAATGACATTTTGAGCCATGAGCAATGGAAAATCGTTTTTTTTTTTTTGTCGTCGTCTAATTTAAAAGGGTCTAACACTATTCGATTGGTTCGAGGTCGATTGTTGCTAACAATTTAAAAAAAAAAAAAAAACTGATTACGTACACTATCAAAATTTTAATAAATATCAAGTAAGTTGGTTAATTAATGCACAAACAAGACAAACAAATTTAATACGGCCGCAAACGTAGAACATCAAGAATTTATTAAAACGTCGACATAAAAAAAATCCTGGCTAGGGACAACTTTAGACATATATGATGGCGATTGAAATTAAATATTACAATTGTCAAGTGTTACAATCGACAAAATTGCAAAAATGGTCCTTGTGGTTGGCAAAAATATGTGATTTTGGTCCAAAAATGTTTGGTGGTACACCAGTGGTCCAATTTTGGATCTTTTTAGTGATTTTGGTCCCTATATAATTAAAAAGACAATTATGCCCTTGTAATTATATTTTTCATTTTTTATATTTATATTAATGGTTTTAGTTAATTGAAAATAATAAAGGGCCCACCAACCCTACACCTCTTCTTCTCCGGTTCTCCCCATCTCTCTGATGTTATCCCTCCTAACACCATCGTCACTTCATCTCCTTTTGGCTATGGCTCCCCCCCAGTTCGTAACATCTTGCATACACTTTATCGTTCGCACCAACCACTAAAAGCAGAGCTTTAGTCGTCGCCAGTGCATCCTGTCTGGACATCACCGGAAAAATCCCTAGAATCACAGTCCAAACCCTAGTTTCTAGAATTTATGTAAAATTTTGAATCCATAAACACCAGTAACACATTTACCCTCGTCTATTCAAGCTATTATGGCTTCTCCATGTCCTGATTTGTAATTAGCTCGAGTGAGTTTAAAACATTACCAAATGGAGAACACCAACCTGCAACAATGGTGATTTTGTTGAAACTTGCAGATGAGACAAGACATATGGTTGGTGCCTTTGATTCTCGATTACCATGAATTTGTGAACTATGTGTGGGTCGATTATTTCTTTTCTCAATACAAAATGCTCGATGCTTACTGCTAATGATTTCTTTTCTAATTTTTAGGTGGGTTTTGTTAAGGTTGGCAAGTGTCGATAGTGTGTGTGTTGAGTCTAAACCTACAACTAGAGACACTTGATATCGATTTCTGAAATTGTCTGTGTCGTATGATAAACAAGCACCGACGACATTGATGAACAAGAATAACAGGGTGGTCATGAACAAATAGGGGTGGAGATGGTAGGATGGACTAGCGGTGGTGGCTAGGGGAATTAAAGGGGTGAGGTCTGTGGAAGAAGGGCTCAATTCAAAAAAGAAGTAAAAAAGGGGCGATAGATCCCCATTGCAGACTTGCTGTTATTTCCTTTGGAAATCTGCAACTCGAGAAAAAATGGAAGAAGATGAGATAAATTTTTTATCTTGACCTAAAGTTTTCCTCGTTTATATTTCTTTTAATTAACATTTGCATGGAGCGAATGAGAAGAAGGAAGTGTGGGATAATTTGAGTGTGTATTTTTTGAGTGTATATGTGTGTGCTTGTGTTTTCTTAATTTTGGAAGAGAGAGAGAGTGCGTATGGTTTGTTTATTTTGTTTTTGTTTTTTATTTTATCATAAGAATAAAAAAAATAAATAAAAAAAACTAAAATATAATTATTTAAGGGGCATATTAGTCATTTTAGATGGGATGTGGACCAAAAACACAAGAATATACAACCATAAAGACCAAAATCACACAAGATATCTTAAATTGGACCAGTGTGCACCAACATTTCATTTTGAACTAAAACTTGCCTAACACCCTTTTTGCAATTTTGTCGTTACAATCATTCAATCCTTCCCTTATTTCTATTTCAGTAGGCCATGTTTCATGATTTCATTACGACGTGCATTGGTAATAAAAGCGTCAAAATATATGTAAACAAATACAAACAAAATTACTTTTAGTCATGAGATTCGTTTAACACTACAACTAAATACAAAAAACATGGCAATTTACTGCAACTATGCAAACCTCCTCGTCTCACACCACTTTCTCGTTCAGATTAGCAGCAGCTGCAATGGCAGCAGCTACTCCGGCGGGATGCGCTGTTAAATTAGGGTTGTTCCTCCTCTCTGCACTCAACACACCCTCGGCATCTTCCCTCGTAGCCACTTTATCCGCCGGTAGCTTCACCGTTGCATCCTGTTTAAGTATAGTTTCCCGACGTAATAATTAAATATATAAATAGATGACGAATCAAAAACAAGATTAATTAATTTCTTATTTCCTGTGCAAGAATACTTACTGTAAGAACTTCGCTAAGTCTGACTTTATCTTCTTCGCGAGTTGATGCGTTCAAAGTGGCAGCTGATTGAGCTTGAGCTGCAAGTCCGCCGGGGATCACCAGGTTGCTGCCAGTAGCCCTCACTTCCGCCGCTTGAATTGCCGCAGCATCACTCCGCTCCACCGGTTTGTTCCCGGTTGTCCTTGATGCAGCTTCAAGTGCTTCTCCGATCGTAATAAAACCTTGCTGATGCAAATCTCCAACCCCACCTTCCTGCTGGAGTATCGGTGTAGCCTCCACATACCGCCGCACCACCTGCCGGAAAATTGACAAACGGACTCATAAGTTAACAACGACGTCAGATATAATAATATTTTCAATCAAGTGAGATCTAGACCTCTCCCGCAATTGTTTCAGTGACAACACGGGCACCGGGAACGTCGGTGGCTGTAACAGCAACTCCTTGATCACCGGTGACGGTGAGATCATCATGACTGACCAACCCTGCTCTCTCGTTGATTGTAGCCGCAGCCTGCATGGCGGCGGCGGTTCCACCCTTCTGGGTTTGTCCAAACACCGTCGTCTCAGCTGCTTGCATCATGCCGGCATCTTGTGGCGCCACCGGTTTGTCAGCTAGTTTGCCGGAAACTTGAAATACATCCCCATATTTTATTGGTTCTTTTTGCTGCGTTTGCACTTCCTGATGTCGTTCTGGTTGATCCTGACTCATCTTCGCGGTTACCAATCTGTGTCTTTGAGTTGCTCCACCACTGTTGGTCGCCGGTGTTTATATGGCGTCAACAGGGTCTTCAATAGACGCGTATAAAGTGGACCAGGACACACGTGTTGTACGAACAAGGTGAGCGTGGCAGCTCGATAAACAAGGGTGCACCAAACGCAAATACTCATTTGTTTTTAACACAGGTGGCATTTTAAAGGGGGGTTCGAGACAAATAAAAAAAAACTTATATTTTTATTATTTTACTAGGCGAATACCCGCACGTTGCGCAAGAATAGAATTATATAGTTAAAATAATAATTTTTACCAAGTTATTATTTAATATTTCTACTGTGAAACAATATGTTCGTAGTAAAGCAAACATATAGTTAACATATTAGTTTTATTAAACATTATAGTTTAATTTTTAAGTCATTGTGATATACACAACTATTTGATCATTTTATAAACCGTTTATAATTGTGCAAATTATATATCAAATGAATGATAATATAACGGATAACAAAACGTATAAACAAAAATATGAACTGCAACTTTTAGTAACATAAAAATAGAAAAACATCTATTATAAAATTTGTATTAAAAAAGATATATATACAACGAATAATAAAAAATATGAAAAATAAACACTATAACTTTTAATAACATAAAAACACTAAAACATCTATAATAATATTTATATTAACTCTTCATATTTAAATGACAAATCTCTTCAAATACATTAATGTTTTTAATGAGCAAAATTTTACAACCTTATAAAAGAAAAGAAAATAAAAAGTTATTAGTGATTATTAATTAATAATCATAAGTTAAAAACTCTTGAGTTGTAATTAATAAATATACATAAATTAGAAAACTCTTGAGTTGTAGTGTGAGTTTCAAATGAATGCGGTATTTGGAAATGTGTATTTATTATTATTATTATTATTATTATTATATTCGTCTAAATAATTGGTTTTGATGCTTCATTTTAATCCCTTCAATTATTAAACATAAAAATATTTAATTATTAATTTATAACATACATAGGTGCATATATATGTTAAACAAATCACATATAATATATATATATATATATATATATATATATATATATATATATATATATATATATTCGTAAATGTCATATGTAATTTTTGTCGTAGTAATATGGATAAATTACTTTCATATGAAGAACATATCATGATAAGTCTATCATAATTACATATCAAATGTTAAAAATTATGTTATCTTTTAAATATTGTCTTTTAAATATGTTGTGTAGGATAACCCAACAAAAAAATAATAGAAAATAAACATAATCAAAATAGAAAAACTACAATCAAATAAATAAGAGCATTGGGTGGTTGAATATATAAATAAAGATGTTACATAAACATACATTTAAATCAAAAGAAAAAACTAACATTCGTCAACTTTGCTCAAACAAAAAAAACTATATCCGTTTTCTGAATCTTTTTTCTTCATTTAACACCATTCAACCATAGAAACTTATGACAATTCTTCACTAACCTGCAATCAAAATATTTTTCTTGAAAAAGAAGAATCAGAAAGATATTCCAAGCAAAACATTGATGTTTGGAGAGTCACATTCAAGATTGAGTAATACACACAAATCACATATAACGATTAAATGAGAAACTGAATATAAAGAAAGAATAGAAAAGCTTCATTTGTTTTGGTTGAAAGATATTCCAAGCAAAACATTGATGTTATGACATCCTTCTTACATGTAAGATTTTATATAACACAAAAGACACAAAAGATTGGCCTTTTTATAGTAAACTTTTCACTAAATGCTAATTAAACATAATATAAGTTATAAAACTTTTGAGTGTTAAATCATAATTAAGAAAATTTTTGAGTTGCATTAGTTAAAAAAGGGGATTTCAAATGAATGTGGTTTGAGGAAGTTAAAAAATGGGGGTTTCAAATGCATGAGATTCAAGAAAAAATGTTAGCTTTATAAGTATGTATGATTATTAAACAATGGTGACACCAAACTCAAACATTCTGTTTGATAATCTAATTCGGTTTGAATATCTGTCGACCGAAACTCAAGTTGAAATAATTTACAAGAAAAATCCAAGGGACAATTGTGATTTTGTAGACCAAAATAATCTAAATTCAAAAAATGGTAATGATAAATATAACTATCAATCGATACAAAAGTAACTATTATATTTTCATATTTGAGGAGTGGCTTACTCGTGAAACACTTCGAGGATATGGATGATCTCTTGGGTGTTTGGGATCTGATTTTTGATTTTTCTAAAAAGTTAAAAAATTTTAATAGATAAATTTTAAAATTAACTTTTTGGCAAAAAGGAGTTGATGGTTTTTCAAAAGACAATAAATCATGACTTTTTATGACTTTTGCCTTCTTACAAGGTAATTTGCCTTCAAAAGTCAAAATATTTGGCAAAACACTTTTTCAAACTGGCTTTTGACTTTTACCACCTTAAAAGTTAAAATCAAAAAATTCTTTTACAAAAAGAACTTTTCACCTTGAGAAGCAATCCCAAACACCCCTCTTGTATGTCCGGCTTCTAATTCTGTTGGCCGTTTGTTTCTATGGCAATGAAGATTTGTTTGCATGACTGCAGGTCATGAGGCATAATCTCATATTTATACGAGCGATTAATCGTATATACGTAAGGTGACCTGATCACCCTTGTTAGGGAGACTCGCACTACAAGAAACACGAGCATTAGCGGCGACATGCATCACCACTAAAGGTCTGGTATGTCGCCGCTAAAGCGACTTGTCGCTGCTAAAAGGTTGTGGTCGTTGCCTCGCTACAAATGTTACATATGTCGCCGTTATTGTTCTTCGTCACCACCAATACCCTGTCGCCGCTAAATAATACACTTAAAACACACACACACACACACACACACACACACACATATATATATATATATATATATATATATATATATATATATATATCTTACACATACATATACAAAATATACATTCCACATACAAAATTAAAAATAAAAAGGCGATGAAGAACATGTGGAGGTGTAACTCAACGGAGAAGATGGTTGTTCCAAATTTCGAGATTTTCCGGTAGGGAACTCCAAATCCTAACAGTGGAGCTGGAAATTTCGACAAAAGTCGAGTTTTCAGTGGGGGGAAAAGAAAAGCATAAAAACATAAAAGAAAGAATAAGAAAACTCACATGCAGAAGTTTAGGGATGTCGCTGGTGATGAAAGGTTGTCGATTGGAAGGTCGTCGGTGATGGGGAGGTCGCCGATTGGGGCTTTGGCGGTAAAATTCTGACTCAATCGACAAGCTGAAGGGGGAAACAACAAAATCAACGGTAAAATTATGTGGAGTGAAATTTACTGTAGAGATGAGGAACACACAGGAAAAAAAAGCGAAATGGGGTATATTCGTGAAGACCTTTAGCGGCGACGCAAGCGTATTAGAAGGGGTATATTAGCAACGACGAGGAAACTAATTGCGGCAACACGTGCCAGAAGGAGGTTTTGGCTCCATTTGTTTAGACTATTAGCGGCGACACTGTCGCCGCTATTGCTGTCGTTGTTATTGGTGTTGTACACAACGTGGTCAAAGCCGTTGGATTTGCAACAAAATCGACGGATAGGGTGTAATCTTAGGTTTTCACACGGGTCATGGGTGAAGACTATTAGCGGCGACATCCAACGAGATTGATGGTTCTCGCCATTAATAGTGGTTGTCACCGCTAATAATGGTTATTCTTGTAGTGCGTCTTTCCAAAAAAATTACCAAATAATTCTAAATTAATATATGTTTAGTTTATACTTTATATGTCCAACATTTCCTTTAAGCTAGATTCGATGCACTTTTAATTTTGTCTTCAAACGTTTATGAATTTTTCAGCATTTTTACATGTTTAATTCAATTTAGTTGCATATTACGGGCTACCATGTTCATTCATCAGCCTCTCCATAATATAATCAAGACTATAGTCAGGGAACGGATGAATATTCTTTGTATCAAACAACGTAGGATAAGAGAGGAAACAGTACAACTGGTCTGTATTTAACTTATTTATTTATTTATTTTGAAAGGGTAACTCGACGAGTTGGTGGCCCTAACTCGTCGAGTAGAAGGCAGAATACGCGCGGGGTTTAAGCTATCTACTCGACGAGTCAAGAGCCCTCGACTCGGCGAGTAGATCGGCCAGAGTGAAACCCTAATTTCGAGGTTTTGCACCCTGTTTAAGCTCCTTAACCCCCACCCCTTGGCCTCATTTCTAGCCTCCTTGTCCCAAACCCTAATCCACGAAACCCTAGAGCTTTATTTGAGAGTGTGAGTCATTTTGAGTGATATTGGTGTACTTTTGAAGCTTGTGGAAGAAGAAGAAGATAGAGGGCTCAAGAGGGAAAGAGTAGATCCAGAAACTACACTCCAGAAACTACATCGGGCTCAAGAAGAAGAAGATAGAGGGCTCAAGAGGGAAAGAGTAGATCCAAAAAAACCCGAACCCGATTAACCCGACTCAACCCGAACCCGAATAAGGTACATAGGGTCGGGTTTAATAGGGTCAAAATTTTAAATCGGGTTATTCGGGTTAACCCGACATACCCGAATTGCATTTAGGGTCGGGTTTAGGGTTGATTTTTTTATAAAAAATCGGGTTGCGAGTTAACTCGATTAACCCGAATAAGGTGCATACCATAACTTTTTTAAGTATTGTATCCTCCACATGTGAAGTACAAACACATGTTCTTTGAAATAAGAAAATTATTATGCATATATATTTGGCTTAATTTACATTTACTAATCTTACGTCATGTTTTCTAGAAGGATACATATTGGGTCTTTTCATATTAAGGTGTATTAAAATTTAAATTACATTGGTTTAATAAAATAAACATAAATAAGGAATTAATTGATTGTTATACTAAATAACTCATTCTTTCATACATTGTACTGTACAAGTTAATCTAAATTGTGAGAGAATTAGGTATAAATAAAACAACGATTGTTTTTT